GCGGGTGGGCGGGGGCCTGCGTGGCGCGGGATCCGTCGGCTCGCGCGGGGACAGTCGGTCCTGGGGGCGGGACCTCTGTGACCTTGTGTCGTGTTGTCAAGGGCGACGGGCCGTGCGCACGGAGCCGCCCGGGGCGCTCGCCCGCCGGCTGGGCCTCAGTTGATGCATCCCTAAAATGGGGCAGATGTTCGCACCCAGCCGGAGGGTGTGAAAGGGCTGCGCCCAGGCAGAGGCAGTTAATAGCTCTGGGGCTAAGTCAGTCACCGGCCCCTGTCCAGACCGCTGGAAGTCAGTCTCCAACCAAGACAGGCCAAAGAGCTAAAAAGTGTGAAAGGGAGAATTTCGGGCCTGCCTTGTCTACACCAAAACGTGAACTCAGGAGCCAACCCCACCTGCAAAACTGGGCTTATTCATTCATTCCAGTTCCCTCGCCCTGCTAGAGATAAGGGTCTAGTGGGATTCAGACCGTCAGCTCCGTTTCTCACAGAGAGTTCCAAACCACGGAAAATGCAGATTCTCTGGCACGGCCTGAAGTGAGGCCCAGGCGGCTCCCCAGATGATTCTGAGGCACACTGCTGCCACCATCAAATAATTGCACAAAAAATGAGTTACTCGCGATTGTGACAGGAGCTGCAAAGTACAGGAGCCAGGAGAGTGTCCCCCTTGGGGCCTGGATATCGCTGTGGCCTTGGGAGGGGGTGCGCCAGGGAACGCTTCCAGGTGGAAGGTGTCAGGATGACCCCCAAGTTCCAGGCTTAAGCAACTGAGAAGGGGAAAGTAAAAGAGGTGGGCAGATTTGGATGGAAGAGCAGGGGTTCTCTCACCTGGGAGACTCCGGCAGCCTCCTGACCGGCCCCCTATTCTCCACATGCAGCTGGATCATACACTCCTCAGTCAGGGTCCTCCAGTGGTTTCCCTGCACACTTATAATCAGTTCCAAACCCCTTCTGCCTTGAGGCCTTGCACAAGCTGAGCCCTGCCTCTTTCCTTCCCTCACCACACTCCAGACATACCGAGCCTGTCACAGGCAGAGCTGTTCCCAGGATGTCCCTGCAGCTGCTCTGGGGGAATTGAAGGGGCTCTGCCTCATATTTCATTTGTTGTTCACTCCACACAGGAAACCATCTCTTTTGTAAGAGCTGACACGTTGGTCTATGAGGCAATAGATCTAGCTTGCAGAGCCCTTTTATTTCAGGAAGTGAAGTGGTACTTGACAAAGGCAAGAGGGAAACCTAGGCTTCAGTTAAGGATGGGGGGGCCTCTGCCCAGACAGGCAGGACCCAGGCTCCGTGGAGGGCAAACCTACCAGGTTCCAGACATATCTCCCAGGCCCTTCTGTCCTCTGTTGGCCTGTGGCCTTCAGAGACATACCCTCAGCCACAGATCTTTGTGATACTGGGTCCTCTGGCAGCCCAGGGAACTGTGGCTTTTTAAGGTGCTGAGGGATGCAAGAGAAGTCTTGAGAGGAACATGGGCAGATTTCAGACCCTAGGCAGACAAGGAAATTGGAAGAAGGAAAAAATGATTAGATGCAGATGTACCTGAGTTGAATTGATGGAGACTGGCAGAGAGCTGCTTGGGGAGAGCAGAAAGAGAAGCAGAAGAGGGGAGGGGGAGACCCCCCTGAGTCTCCCAACCACTACGAGGCTGCCCATTCCTTCTCCAGAAATCACTGCCTTCCCCTGAGGTGAGCTGAGGGCTGTGCAAAATGCTTGCTGCTTTATTCACAACAGCCAGAAGGGAGAAGCAACCCAAGTGTCCATCAATGGATGAATGGATAAACAAAATGTTTTATATACCTACGACGTGTTATTACTCAGACTTGGAAAGGAGGGAAATTCTGACACATACTACAACATGGATGAACCTTGAGGACATTATGATCAGTGATATCAGCCAGTCACAAAGAGACAAATACTGCATGATTCCATTTATATGAGGGCCCTAGAGTCGTCAAACTCACAGAGACAGAAAGTAGAAGGTGGTTGCCAGGAGCTAGGGGAGGGGGAATGGGGTGTTAGTGTTTAATGGGGACAGAGTTTCAGTTTTGCAAGATGAATAAAGTTCTGGAGAGGATGGTGGTGAGGGTTGCACAACAATATGAATGTATTTAATACCACTGAACTGTACACTTAAAAACGATTAGGATGGTAAATTTTATGTTATGTATATTTTACCACGTTTTTTTAAATGCCCACTGCAAAGAAAAACCAAATTCAACTGCCTCCTTTTTCTTCATTTCTTTGTTCATGGCACCAATTTCTGGGTGAGCTTCTCCCCTCATGGGGCAACGTCCTAGGAGTTCCCAGAGGAGGAAAGGCTTGTGGCTGAAGAATACTTCTTGACCTGGAGAGGTCCCAGGGATAATGGGATTTTTTCCCAATTTAATGGCCCTTCATGGAGGCAAGTGCAGCCACTTAGCAGGACCTGGCCTGGAACTTACTAGAACACTTCTAATTTCACTTGATGACTCTGAGGCTTTTTCTCCAAACAACTCATTCTGCTTTGCCAGTGGCCACTTTTAATTCCACCATCAAGGACACTGGGAATGTCACAAGTTGATTCCAAAGATCCCCACATTTTGAGGGGTGAATGGACCTGAAGCCTTTCTCTCTTTTCATCCCTTAGCATCAGTACTCAGTCCAGGCCCTTCCAGGGGGCTCCCTGGCCACCCACTAGCCAGGTGGCCCTTGGCAACCTCTTCTCCTCTTGGGGCCCTTTCACCATGAACACCGTCTGTGCTCCCTGCAGGAGGGGCAGGATGGGCCACCCTAGTGGGCTCCCAGCCTCCCTGTCCAGCATGATAAATGTAAGACAGAGCTGAGTCTGGACAACTGTGAAATATCACTGGAGGGGCCTTCTCTGAGTGATTCTGGCTCTGGGGAAGGCAGAGTGGAGGAGGTTGCAATCTCTCTCCTTGCATTTCTTCCTGGAAATTTCCGCTAGGAGATACCACTGCGTGAACTAGCCTTGAGGGCATGTTTTGAAAGATGCCTTCTGTCCTGGCAAAGAGCTCAGATGACAATTTTTTCCCAGCTGTGGATGATGTCATTTTAGGCATTGGAATAAAAAATGTCCACCAGATCTTAAGTCTACTCTGTCTCTTGCTTATGAGAAAGAGGACAAATGAGAATTAATTTGGTCTGGGAGACTCTACAGGGTGAAAAAGCAACTGTGTTCTACACGTGCTTGCATGCAAGTGCATGTGTGCATTTCAGCCAAGCCAATGGCCCTGTGACTCTAGAGCCACCATTTTTCCTCAACGCTTGGAGGGAGCAGAGAGGCTGTCTCGGGAGGCTTTGCCTGCTGACAGACCCCTTTCTCTGCACGGCATGGCTTCCTGGTGGCTGCTGGGCCCCTTCCCTCAAAGGCCTGCTCTGTGCAGCGAGGCCCTGCCTCCCTCAAGGACTGGCCCTTCGCCTGGGCGCCATGGGCCTCTACTCCAGAGAGAATCCCTGCCCAGGTGGTATCCTGAGCAGCACCTGGTGTCAGGCCCCAGCAGGTGGGTGGCTTTCGCAGAGTTCCCCTCCTCCAGACTGCATCTCCTCAGGTGTGAAGAGGGTCCCTTCAGTCAGGAGTCTCTGGTCCATCGGGGTATCGGAGGACAGGGTGGAAATGCAGACCCTCGGGTGTTTTCTGAAGGTGCCGACGCCCCCCAGGCACAGGGGGCCATGGTCCATCAGCGTCACCGGGTCTCTTCTGAGTGATGGGTGCAGAGCCTGCAGTTCAGGAAATGGGAAGGACTGGACTGAGCCGGCACTCATTCCACAGGGTGCCGGAGAATGTGCACAAGCACGTTTCACGTGGCCTGGGAGGCTGGCTGGGGAGTGAGGCTCCCCTCCTATTGTTTGGAAAAGCAAGCATGACATGACTCCCTTCTTTATTTTCCTCACAATCCGCCTTTTTTACAAATGCACTTCACAGTCAGGACTCCCTGCACCTCTTTGTCCCTGGGGCAAACAAAACAGTGGGGACGCTCTTTCCAGGTAACTCAGGGTGTTAAGCCCACTGGAGCTATTTGCAGCTCGGGTCCTCCCCGAATTCCTGTCCCATCCAGAGGACCTCAGGCTGCCAGTGGTCCTGCCACGTTCTTATTCAGGGATTTGAGGAAGGCGGGAGGCCCACAAGGACAAAAGGGGACAGCAAGTTCCAGCTCAGAATGAATGCTCTGAGGCCAAAGAACCACTTGACCAAACCCCTTTTTGATACTGGCTCAAGACAAGGTTGACATAAGGGAAGCCATATTGTAGAAAATAAACCCTATTGTAACTTTGAATGACCTCTGACTAACTAACCCAGCTGGGTATGCACCCTCCAGGAGATCTAACTGCTCTGTAGATTTTATAACCCTTGCTTGTGCATATAGCTTGTGCATATATCACTCCCAGCTGTGATAAGATGATAACTTTGTTTCTTTTGAGTTCTTTAGGAATGTGATGACCCCTGAACAGAGAGTCTATGCTGATAGCCATCATCAATGCAAACTGGAAGATCTGGTGTGGCAACTCCCAGTCTGTAACACCCGAGGGTCAATAATCCTAACCCCCTCCCCTATAACCCACCAGCCTATATAACTGCTGTAAGATTTTGTGCCCCCTTAAGATGGTTGTTTTGGACATTAGTCAGCCATCTTCCCCCTTGCTAGCAAGCTGTAATAAAATGCCCTTTCTCTGCCACTATCTTGCCTCTTGATGATCGGCTTTTGTCTCGCAGCGAGCAGATCATGCCCTTTGTGTGATAACACCCTCCCTATACCCGCACGTATCAGGAACATTAAGACTAAGGCAGGTTCAAAGTCACGATGGTTTGTTCTTGGTCCCTGACGGCCTCGAGACTCAAAGTGTATGAGGGCCAGAAGCAGCAGCCTCACCTGGGAGCT